ATGAGCCTGAATTGAAGCCTTGTAATGAGCCTGAATTGAAGCCTTGTAATGAGCCTGAATTGAAGCCTTGTAATGAGCCTGAATTGAAGCCTTTGACAGAAGGCGGCTGGGCTGCTGCTGCTGAAGGTGAAAGGGATGTGAATTTGCAACAGGTGATTGAGAAACCTGCTGAGGAGGTGAAAACAATTATGGAGGTTTGTTGATTTGGGTTTTTGTTTCTGTCCAATTCTTTCTGTGATTTTAATTTTGATGTATAGCAGCTTAAAATGATACATTTTGGACCATGAACTATATAATTAGTCTTAGGAAATATGGGTTTCAATTTATTAATTATATATCTTCCGCTAATTAAAAATAAATGCATTGAATGTTAAATATCTTGAGTAGCTTGAATATGTAACCTACTAAAGGCACAGATTTTGAATCTTTTTTGGAGAGAAATTATGGTTCGTGGTGTGAATGAGAGCTGAGATGTTTGTGTATAGTGAGCTTTGAAGACAATAACCTCTCCAGCATGCACGCGTCTTTGCTCTGAAATCATGTTAGGAGAGATAAAAATATGTTTAATTTTAGAGAATAATTCATACTTTAGCGACTTCTTTTGTTTGGTGGAATATTATTCATTTTTTCTTTGACCAGCCATCTAAGTTGGATATAGGCACATTCACGGGCATCATATCAACTATGCATTATACAATTGTTATTTTTTCTTTGTTCATATATATGCATATGATAATGAATGAATAATATATGTTGTATTAGTATGGCGTCAACATCATCTTGCTCAACTATAGTTCTTAGCTTTGAATTCTTAAAATGAAGGCAGAGCAAGGAATAATATTTCAAAGCATATGGCTGAACTTTGGCCAAAACTGTATTATTCTCCCCTTTAAGTTTAATTGACAATTTATTTGGAACTGCTGACTAATTCAAAGTCATTATGTTTTTTATAAAGCTTTCTCTTCCATTGTTCTCTTAGATGTTTTTATCCATGTCACTTGCCAGACAATTGACAAAGTGGATGAGTTGAATGAAAAAGTGAAAAGGAAAAAGGAGGTTGAGGAGAAATTACAAATTTTGAATTCAAAGAAACATAATCTGGTTCAAATACTGAAGCAGGTAATCTTTGGCTCTCATATCTGGTACAGGTGGCATTTTCTTGTTATAACATGGATGTGCAGTGTTTTAGGGCCATGGCTATGCCCTGTCTTGTATCCTTGAAACATTGTTAATAATGGACTACATTGTGGTTGTGGTTCTTGACAGATCTTGAATGTGGAGGAGGAATTGAAGAGGCGAAATAGCATGCAGGGTATGGCAATGCGAGCAGCTGTTCCACTTCAAGTTGAAGTCCCAAATGACTCTGGCTCAATGTCCAGGCAAGTCACTCCAAGAGTGGGCTCAGAGGCAAATCTTGTTGGTGAGAATGGAGGAGGTGATGCTGATGATTTTTCAAACCATAATGTTCAATCTCACCATATGTTTCGAATGAGCAGTACTTCTCCTTCTCCATCTTCAGAGTCTCCTCTCAGAAGGCTTCCCTATATTCAATACAATGTGGTAATATTATCAGTATTGCTTTATTTATATTACCTTTTTAAAGTTTTCTTACATGTTTTATGTTATTGCTGTAAATGTTTTGGTTGGAATGTTGATCCATTTTTTGTTTCTAGAATTATTGATCTATCATTGTCAATGGCATGGAATCAGGGCTAGGTCTCAAATTTTAAGTACTCAATTATAATTTGAGTTCTTGGCTTTGATTCTTGTGCATTGAGTTGGAAGTCAATAGTTAAGTTGCACTGTTGTAGTTTTGAGAAGAATTTTATTTGCTGTCTGTGTTTTCAAATGGGATTTAATGGGTTAATATTAAGATGATCTGTAATTTTCTTGCCTATCTTGCTCTTTTCCCAAAATATCCTTTTCGCATCAAATTATGTTGACCAATGGGGAGTAAAGTAGGCAGTAGTAACAACGTGCACTTGCTACCACTTTTGCCATTGGCCAATTGCTGATTTCTTTTTCTTTGCCAAAATTTGCCAATTCTCTATTCAGTCAAGTCTCTTTCCTTCCTTTATTCTTCACTGTCCATGTATATGGGTCAGAACCTATGATTGTTTTCTGTGTCTTAAGATCTTATAGATACTGCTCGTTATTAGTTGCAAAAAGATTTTTAGAACCCTTGTCCGTGTATATGGGTCAAAAATGATTGTCTTTCTCATCTCAGGAGGTTGTAGTAGATTCTGCTCTTTCTTAGTTGCCATTAGGGTTTCTAGGACCATCTATTTAGCTATCTTTTAAACTAGTCTCATTTGATTTAGGTTCCATGTGTGCTTCACCTACTGCTTTTTGCATGGAATAATTAAATATTTCAGATCATGTTAAGTTGTGCAACAACCCATAAATGCTCTCTGGAGATGGAATTACCAGCATCAACTGTAGATAAACTAACAAAGCTGAACTTCTTTTGGCCTGTTTCACAATAGGCGTTCCATATGTGTGGAGTTTCTCTTACACCAGTATCTGTAGGAACATGGTGGAAAATGAACTACATTCCTTATAAAAAAAGCCATGGTAAAAGTGGAAAATGTACTATGTTCCTTATAAAAAATGCCATTGTAAAATACTAATGACCTATTGGTCAAAGTGGAAGGAGTTGAGTTCAGTTTTCCTTAAATAAAGTCTGAAGTTCAAGTCTCGTGAATGGAGAAATAGATGTTGGAAGAGTTTCCTCCCTTATAGGGTCCGATGTGGCTTGACTTCGAATTAGTTAGAGCCCAATATGGCTTCCAGATATCAGGGGGGTTAGTACCAAAAAAAGACCATGGTAAAATCAGGTGTTTTATGATAGTTAACCTTTCTTTTATAAATTGTTTTGCTGTCTATAAAACTAAGACCTCATGTAATCATCAAGAAGTATCAAGATGTTTCCTTTCAATTAGTTTGAAGTATGGAGTAGTCAAAGAACTAGGACATGTATTACCACTAAGATTTGAGAAGTAAATTTTCCAACCAATTTGATATACAAAGCACATTTAGATTGAATGATATGTGATGGTTCTCAATTATTCCTTTTATATGCAGCTTCCACACCCTGCTCGAGCAAGTATGGCAGTCACTGGTAGTCCATCACGCTTCGCTCCAGCAATCAATCAGGGTCCTGGAAATCTTCCCACAGTATCCGTATCAGGAGCAAGTTACATAGCATCCTCTCCTTCCCCTGCTGCATCTGGAGGCACTTCAGTTTTCAGAGAAGCTCGGCAGCCGAGTCCATGGAATTAGTGCCTATAAACCATTTATATCCACCTCATTTGATATGAGGCTTCAATATATGATCCACCGCCATTCTCAGATTAGCAATGTTATTGCAACATTACGCAGATAGCCAGTTGAAAGCTGTGTCCTTGTACATATTTGCTTGTTGGATCAAAGATAATAGATTAGTAGTTTGTGTCTTCATTTCTACCACGGATGATCTGAGTGTGCATGTAATGATCTATTGCATGCCTCCAATCTTGTAGATTTTAGATCTGCAACCTTTACCCTCAATTGCTTGTTAAAACTGATCATTCTATTATCATTTTGTACTCGTATGTTATTTTAGATTCACATGGATGTTTGGAGATTAATTATTATCTTCAATTAACACCATTCTTATCCTTTCTAGACTGTAGTACATGATATAGGCAGAGCTCTTTGCCGGCTAAAATGAGGAGTGGGGGAAGTTCATATGTTGTCTTTAACAAATGCATCTTCTCTTCCCCTCCCTTCCAAGTTATAACTACAAGTCTTGTTTCTTCTGCTGCTATTTCCTTGTTTGCGTTTACTTCATTCATTCATCCACTCATATCAATATAATATAGAGCTTTAATTTAATTCTTATTTCTTTAATAATGATCTCTAAATATAATAATGGACATTGATTCATGTATACTATCTCGTTACACATCCGTTATACACTCTAACGGTTTTCATTATTTCACTCATGGTCTCTATCTCACCCAACCCTTTCTTTCTCTCTCCTTTCCTTTCTCCTTCTTACTGTTCATCATCCTCACCAGATCCATCTACCTCCTCACCTCCATCCTTATACTAATCATCTGCAAGACAATTGCTAGCCCTACAAAGTACCCACCTTCTTCCTCTTTTTTTTTTTTTTCTCCTGGGTTCTCCTTTAGAACCCAATCAGTAAGAACCCGATCTAGGTTCTCCACTACAGATTTCAGAGTTGGTGGCACTGCCTGCGCTTGCTTCAGCGTGACCAACAACTCCACCACCACCCTGTTGTTCGTCATTGCTGCCCTCACCCACTTGTCCTTCATCACCATTATCATACCCACAAAAGCCCAGCCTAGAAAACCCCTAAAACAAAGAACCACACAAGTGGCATAGCCTAAAGTGAGGAGAACCCAAATCGGGTTCTTATGGAGAGACCAAATCTAGGTTCTTATGGAGAGACCAAATCTAGGTTCTGCAAGAG